CCATTTAAACCAAATCAACAGTCTTGATTCATTTGAAAGGGCCCCTGTATGTGAACCAGTAGCTTCCTAACAAACCCTCTGCCCTCACACTGTTGATGGTAAGAGGAATAATCTATCGTCCCCAAGACGCTAATTCTATCCTGCGCCCCTGACCTCGACCTGAGTGTATGCTCACCAGTGTCATCGAGATGGATCGGGAGAAAATGAGATGTAACACTGCAACAGGGAGGGGTGATGGAGGGCAGGGGCTTGGGTGGGGGTGTTGTGGTGGTCTGAGCTCTGTCGTCAATCTCTCCCTTCTAGCTAGCTGCTCATGCCTGCCCATTATGAGGGCGGCTGGCCTTCATCATGCAAGCCATCTCTACATGATGTGGTTATTAATGCGCTTGGTTATCACGCCATTCTGCCTGTCTGCAGCCTGTCTTCATTATGTCAGCAGAGCAGGTGGTGAATCCTGCACAGGTCTGGAAAGCCAGATGTAACAGTATGGACAATTAATTTGAAGATTATGCATGTTGGAGAAATTCTTGGTCAGGAAAGTTTAGAGTATGGAAGAAATCTGTACACCTAATACACAATGAGAATATAAATTGGAATTAAAAGTGCAGGACCCCTCTATGGTTCAGAGGAGATCCACTCAGCCAGCCAGGATGTGGAGACAAGCTGTCACCCTCAGCTACAGCTCCCCCCAGAGAGCTTTTCTGGATGTCCATGCTTGCCCAGAAACAGCTGGGGCCTGGGTGAAGCATGTTAATGGTGGTTAATTAACAGCAGCAGAGGTTAGTCATGTCCCATCCATGTTCTCATTCAAAAAGAATGAATGGGCAACACCAGTGGGTGATGACTCTCTCTGCGGCCCCCTTGGTCTAGCGATAACTCCCAAGAGGCCATTCTGTACTGCCATTATCAGGCTGATGAAGAAAGAGCACCTTCAGTTACTAATGGTGTTCTTGATGTGTACTGAGTATTGTTAAGGATCAAGCACTTGGAGGAATGAATAAACATGTATAAAAAAAGAAAACCACATTATGAATGAAATCATGGGTGTGATTTCTTGTCAGATTGAATGGATAAAAGCCTCATTTCAAAAGGATTCTGTTGTCATTTCTCAAGTTGCTCTAGTTTCAGTCCTCCCATACTCCAGGGAGATCTCTGTGACAAGCCTGTGGCGTGTGTGTGTATCGTGTTTTGAATACTAAATGACAGAAGTACACCCACTGGCACACGCATTCACGTCTGCATGGCATCTGTTTCATCTGTGAAATCTAATACTGATATTAACCTGGCGATTGTTGGAGGATGGAATCTGTCCTTGGCAGCTTTTCCGCCCCGATGAGTGTTAATGGAAGGCTGTGAAGATGCCAGTACCTGTGATTTTCCGGGCGGTATACTGTACTCTGTTTATCTAGATTGCTGTGTTAAATTGCCTGGAGTTATGATCCTACCGGTTTTATGCCATAGCTATGTTAGGCATCTTGGCCTTGCTATTATAGCACATCTGCACCTGAGTAAACACATTCATAGGGAAATGGACAGTATATCAAATTACTACATCGTTTCACACTTTTTTGTTCCATTAAGGAAAATTCCGTTAAATCCTTTTGAAGCTCAGTTGGCATTGGTCTCTTTCTTCATTTTAATAGATTGTAAAACTTGAAAACTTCTTATAGAGAAATGTTACTTTTTGTTGTCAAGGTTAGTTTTTGAACAGCCCCTCTCCCTGGAGAGGACAGGGTTCACTAACAACTGCATGGACACTTGCTCAGTAGTCATTTTCATCACTTGTGAACACGCCATGCCATTGGTTGGATGGCCCATTATCCCAAAAATAAAAAACCCCATTGCTCTGAAGGCCCATTGTTCTAAAAATACCAGCCTGGCACAACTTGGGTAACGTACCTAATATACTTATTTTATTCCAAACCATGGTCTTTTCCTAAACTTAACCATTAGTTTTGTTACCTTAATCAAAGGTCACCTGAATATTGTTACCATGATGACGAATGTCGGACAAAAAACCCAGGGAGAGTGTGTATTTTCAGAACAACGGGTCTTCAGAGCAGTAGGCTTTTGTTTTCGGGATAAGCTTTCGGATAAATGGGATTTTTCACGCTACTGGGGTTTCGGAATAATGGACTGTCCTTCACTGTGTCACTTAACTGCCCAAATAACTGCCTTACCATTGCACTTTAAATCTGTATTAACCCTATTTTTTCTACTTGAAAGCAGAACTTGGGTTATGGATTAGCAAACAATTGACTATTTATACATCCAACAGGCATGTAGCAACATTACTTTTAGTTGGTGTTGTATTTCTGGTGACCTTAAGAATGTAATATTCACTGTCCTTTTAGCTTTTTTCTGGTCTCCACCAACCTTTGAGAGAAATATTTTAATATTTAGCTGCTGCAATATTAAAATCTTTTCACCAGCACTAACTTTTGTTTATCTGTCATTTGGTGCTGCGCGGGTCACATGAAGCCAGTTTATCAGTTTTTTAGCCACGCTAACGGCATGCCTCTAGAGTCAGCATTGTCTGTCTGGGCTGCTCAAATGGCTGTAGACTCTTGTTCAGCTGAAAACAGCTGCCTGCTGCTGCTGGAAACAAGGTTGATGAGAGCAGTAAAGTGAACTACACAGTAAATGTGCAATGACCATTTATCTAAAAGAGGCTAAAAAGCTCTGTTGTGCTGTTGGGTAATAGTTATTTATCCTTAAGGAGTTTGTCTCAAATTTTCTATATTCTGATACATTTGAATATTGCAAAATTAAACTATTAGTGTATAGTAGCGTATTTCAATTACATTCACCACCCCAATTGCAAATAAATAATCTTTTGAACAAAAACAAGAATTAGTCTTGTTTGCTTTCAGGAAATAATACCCTGTTCATCCTCTGAGAGCTGTACATAAAACGAGCTGTTGGCCCTCTCATTGGCGACTTGCCCAGGAAGCCCTTACATTTAATTGGCCTCCCGTTTGTTTTGAGCTGCACCCACCCATTACGATCCCTCATAAACGTAGTAGTATAAAACCAAACTGCACCTGGGCATCCAGAGAGAGAGAGAGAGAGAGAGCGAGAGAGCTCTGCTGCTAATGTCATTAATTGGCCTGCAGGAAAGAGCCCACATATTTCTCTTAGCTATGGAAACCCTTATCTTTGAACACACACACCTCAGCTCACCCATAACCGATTTCAATTTGGCGTCTCTTCAAGTGTCCTCCATCACGGCCACTAAACCAGGGAGCCAGGTGATGGCCAATGGCAATGATAATGGAGGAAAAGGTCACTTCCAGCAACAACCTGTTAATTGGATTTGGCTCTTTTTCTAATCAATCAAGCACTGTCCGTCAGGGATGCTGTCTGGCGTTAGGGATCATCAGTAGCGTTTTCTCTCAAGAATTGAATTAGCGTACTTTTTGAAGACATACCTGTGGTTTTGCATTTTAAAGCTCATCAGCTGTATTTTGCATACTCTCTACAGTACTGCCGACCATTTCCAAAGCGGAGATTTATTTCCTACCGTCAAGAATAGCTAATTATTTTGGTATGCTATAAAAGTAATATTTTTGGTAATTCATCACTGAGAACATTTAATTTGGTTTCTCTGTCATCTGCCAAACAGCAACTTGTTTAATGTATGGAATCACCCAATTTGCAGGACAATTTTCACACATTTGACTATCTTTAAGTTTGATTTTCTGACACATCTCATGATTTTTAATACTTTTTTTTTTTACATCTGCATCCAGAAAGGAGAGTATTACCTGTTGTTTATGATCAGCATCTTACCTGAATGTGATGCATTTTTTTCTCTACAGACAGCCCCTCTTCACTTCTGTAAGCTGTTTTTGTTTTTGCATCCCAGGAGGAACACTAGTGCTTACATTTCAGGCAGTACATCAAACCTCTGCTTAGCTTACCTCCAACCCTTAAAGTATCATGTTGTTTTTAATATGGAGCCATATAGCATTTTCAAGAGTACGTTTCTTTTTCATATATCGCAGATCTCTACATGAAACTCTTCCAAGTGAGGCCTATCTAGTCTCCAGACAGCTTTAACCTTGTAGACTCTTGTTTTTGCATCCCAGGATAGAGGACGACTTGTATGTCACACATCACGGCTGTTCTCATCAAACCCCTGCTTGGCTCTTAAGTGCCTTTCAAGCCTTCTCTCCCTGGCATTCCCATCATTATTGACAGACCTCAAACAGCCCCCTTAAAGAGTCGACTGGCTTGTTTTCTTCCCGGATTCTCAAGTGTGTTGTTTTTTTTTAGGAAAAAAAACTTTAAAGTGGCTCTAGGTGTCTGTGAGACCAAGAGGCACATTCTGAACAGTTTGTCTCCATGACACTCCATGTAAACTTGGCCTTGGCCTCTTGGGAATTGCTGTGTTGGGAGGGGAATGAAAGTGGCCTTAGAACTGGAGATTGAAATTATGATTCTCCTTTTCCACCACTGTTCTGAGGCGGATAGAGGTGTATAATCCTCACAGGTAATTGATTTTCGGGAACAGTGCAGAGGTATGATGCTGCACCTCGGTGGGGAGTGGGGATGAGAACAATTTCCACAGCCAAAGAGAGTTGACTCAGAGTTTATTGGGGGTTTTTTTCAGTTGAGGGAAACTTTCCAGAAAACATTTTTTTGTGCTGAAAGTTGCTTTAATGTCCTGCTGCATCGGGTAAACTTATGGTCACACTATGTTACAATTCCGGTGGGATCGTCTGGGGGGCTGCTGTGAGCTGCGGGAGGTAGCTGTCGGCATTAAAGTGGATGTGGCTGAACAAATCACTTCCAGGATCTGCAGTATAAGACTTCTTAAGCCGTCCATGTATGAGGAATTTAAACCGCTGTCCCCTGGTAGCCACCCTGCTTCATTTATTGTATCCAGAATGAGGAACTCAAGCTGTGACTAAAGTGAGATGATTATCACGTGTATTTTTTTAAGCTACTACCCAGGTTAAACTGGAACAAGTCCCTTTTGTCTCCTCTCTTTTCAGGATCTTTTTAATGCTGCAGACTGCTGTGATGAATACTGATACGTGGTCAGGGGACAAACAGTGAAGGAGCCAGAGGAATCCTGGTTTGATGTAGGTCCAACCCCGTTTTGCCCATTTATCTGTCTCCCTTGCTTGACTTAAATCTGTGGCCTGACTCTAGACTCTTACAGGGAACCATCTCTATTTTGGTTTGTCCACCTATTTTTGAACCTTTCAGGGTATAGATTTGGTTCCCAACAGCCAAAAAAAGCAGGTTTTCCTCGGGAACCAACGCATTGGACAACGGCATCTGTTGATGATGCATCCCTGATTACAATGGTTCCGAATTGGTGGGAATGCTAGATAGTAGCATGGTTCCAAGAATCTTAAATCGAAATGGTTCAAGAACCAGAGCGAATTTGTTGGGAAAACACCAGCAGTTCTGTTACATGCCAGAGGTTCTCAGGCACCTTTCTGTTGCTGGCGAGATTCAGATTTGAGATCTGACCTTGTGCATCTTGACTTTGAAATCAATATCATCTTTAAATCGCTCAGCATCAGTTGCTGTGTTAAACGCAATATGTCAGCTGATAACTGGTCTGATGGTGTGTTTCAAAACTAAGTCTAAAAACCAATACAACATGGTCTATACTCATTGGATTACACTGCATTTTTAATTTTAATAGTGTAGAAAGCATCTCAAATGATGGGAGAGTGTTTTATTATACTACATACTCACTCACACTGTTGGTCATATTACAAATTATTATTAATTATTCATATAAAATCCATGGCCCTGTGCATTGCAAACCCTGCTCTAGAATTTCAAATCTTTTTCATACTGCAACCACTACTTTGATGGCAATAGCTTTTATTTTAGCTTATGTAAGTGATAAGTTAAGGCTGGATCGTTACGATAGATGTGTTTGAAGTTATTCCATCTGATAGATTTCAGTGTTTGTGTTTTTATTTGTGCTCCTTTCCTCTGGTTTTAAGTGAGCGCGCTCATTTGGGAAAAGGTAATATCACATACTTTGGCACACGAAACACAAAGTAGGAACATTTGACATCTGGCGGGTTGTTTGTTTATGCTGCCAGGCTACTGTCAGTCAAATCTGATCAAACCACACCCAAACAGTGCTGAAGAAACAGATTAGCTGAGTGTATAGTATTAAACTATATCATAATTCCAGATTTTTATTTATTTTTTGTTGTACTTTAATTGTTGTTTATTAAGTCACAGATATTCAATGTTATTGAGAAAGGGGGCTTTGATCATAGGTTATGGAGAGCAACTTGGGATAAGGTTGAGAGTGATAAATTACAGATTATAAATCAGCTAATAAGTCATTAGAAGGCGGGCTATATATACATCACAAGAGGGTCACATGTGACGTTGTCGTGCTTACTAACTCGACTCTGTACTCTCATAGATGAGCTACAGAGAAGGGGAAAGCTGTACCTTTATGGTGCTTTCAGACAGCGAGCTGTTGCTGCCCACCAGGCAATGTTGTTGTTCTGTAGTGAACAAACAGCGTAGGTGGTGGCGGCCATCGCTCGCTGTCTGAAAGTGCCTTTAGGTTGAAGGTTTACAGTTGCTCTAGGGGACAAATTTCAGTTAGTTGGTACTGTATGTAAAGCATGCTGCAAGAAGTAACATACAGCAGAGAGCAACTTGTATATTTGTAATAAATACAAGATTAGAATCTGTTGCCATCCTCAATAAAATAGTTTGACATGAATATTAATTGGCAGCTATGTTAAAACTGATTTGTTTTCAATAATTCGCTGCTTTCTCTTTTTTATACAGTTGTTATTTTTAGGTTTTGGGCTGTTAGTTGGACATTTTTCATCCTTTTCTGACATTGATTGTATAGACTAAAAAATGAATTAATTCATTGAGAAAATAATCAGCATATTATGAAAAATTGCATTCCCATCAGTACCATTAGTAAAACATGTTAAAGCAGAACACAGAATTGAGGTTTCTCTACTATAACTCAACGGCTTTAATCATTTAGGTGTACAAATCTCAGTTTATGGCTTTGTGTCCATTTATACGGTCAAGAAACTAACCGGGCATTTAGAATGAAGTTGGCAAGTGTTGAATTTGGCACTCCCTTTATGTTGACTTTAATGTTGCTGCTTTAATTTCCTCTTAAAATGCACTATAAGTAATTCATAAATGTGTGATTAGTTGTTACTGATGATGCATACATACCATTCATACTTTTTTGGTTTTATTATTTATTTTACCTTACTCTACTACACTCTACTACACTATAGTAGACTGGAGGTACTTTGAAGATAGTGTGTTTCATGGCACACTTCACTCCTCTCCTCCCATCATGGTGTTCCTACTGGTGCCTCCACATGCTGCCTCTGCGCTCTTTGTTCCACTTCATTGGGGTGTGTGCTCATGTGTGCCTGTGTGCGCTCCCGTGTCTGCGTCCATGGATGTGAGTGTGCGTTCCTGTGTCTGCGTCCGTGTGTGTGTGGATGCGGGTGTGCACCAAGAGAACATTTTGAGGATGGGTTGGATCTCTGTGTTTACTCCCCCACCCCATCTTCCCTGTGCGACGGGAGCAAGTGTGTGAGTGTCTGTCAGTGGCGGTGTTTGATGTTGTTGAGTGTAAGCCTGCATGGCATGTGTATGTCTGTGTGTGTGTGTGTGTGTGTGTGTTTCTGTGTGTGGTGTGCAAATGAAGAAAAGGGGGGAGTGTGTAAGTGAATCTGTGCAGGATTGCTGTGAGTGGGAGTATGCTCTGGTGAACGTGTGTAGAAGAAAGAGCAGGATAGAAATAAAAAAATACACTGGTGTGCTGTGTATGCACATGTGCGTGTTTGTTGCATGCCTCTGTAGGTGTGTGTAGCGTAGAAGCCCCCCCTCCCGCCCAACCCCCCCTTACACACACATACACACAACTCCAGGGACTAGCATGTTCATTATTCTTCCTAAAAGAACCATTAAAATTTCATCAGTGCAATGCAATCTGTAACAGGGCGGGGGGTAGTAGGAGTGTGTGCATGAGTGAGTGTGTGTAGGAGAGAGAGAGAGAGAGAGAGACTAAGCAGTGTGAGGGGAGGGAGCTTGCATCCTCCTCTCATTCACCACTGCCTGCCTTCATGCCTCTCTCCTCCTCCTCCTTTTCTTTATCATCTTCTTCTTCTCTGGTGGCTCGATTCCCTCACTGAGAACACACCGATGCACAGATTACGACTTCTCTCGTGATGTGAGCCGCCAACACCCCTCCCCTTCTACTCTATACTCCCTCTATCCATCCCACTACTACTGCTACACATCACCTCCTCTCTCTCTCTCTCTCTCTCTCTCTCTCTCTCACACACACAGGCACTGGAGGAGGCTCTCCTCAGGCTAAAAGGAGGAAAGAGTTAACAAGGTGCAGTTGGATTCTAAGGGAGGATTTTTTTTTTTGTCTCCTGGATGCAAGTCTTTGGATGTATGAGTGCTGGATGGGTCACATTCCAAAGATTAAGAGCTGGATCCTGATTGGAATATCTTTTTGAATGGAATCCGCCTTTAAACAAAAGTGCATGGCTGGAAATTTAAAGGTGAGCCATGCTTTGGATTCCTGTGATTCCCTCGTTCTTTGGCGGGTAACTTGTTGATTAGCATGCAAGGAAACCACATGCTTAGTGTGTTCCCTTCATACGCAAGTTCCCAGAGTTTTCCGTTTTGACTGTTCCTCCTTTTTTCTTTAATTAGACCGATCCAGCAGTTGATCCAGCTGACCAGCGAGGCTCATTAGAGCTGCTGTTCCCCCGCATTGATCAGAAACACGAGGGAAATTAGCAGCAGTCTTTAAAGACCGCGGTAAGTGAGCGAGTGGTGGTTTTCCTCCACAACCCCCCCCCCCGACTTCCCCTCCCAACCAGCCGCCCGATCCCGTATGTCGCTTTGTTTTGCCAGCACAAGCACGAGGCGCTGTCTCTCAGGTAGATCTGATGCCGCTAATTGTATCCTAATTGGGTTTCCCCTCAGCCGCGGAGGTTTTTGGTTTCTGAGCCGCAGAGAGCCACAGATGAAAGAGTTTGTGGGGTGAAGAGTGTGTGTGTGTGTGTGTGTGTGTGTGTGTGTGTGTGTGTGTGTGAAAGTAGGGTGGAGTGTGTATACAAGTGCGAAGGAGAGAGAGTGTAAAGCTGAGAGCTGTTGAAGAGTGTGTACGTCTGGCCAACCCTGTGAGTGTGTGTAGGAGTGAGAGAGAGTCTAGAGCCATTGTGTGTTGTGGATCACTATGCCTGTGTGTGTGTTTGTGGCAGTGTGTGTGTGTGTGTGTGTGTGTGTGTGTGTGTGTTACTCGCAGGCCCATCTGTGGAGGTCTTGTGTGATGGATGGTGACTGACAGAGGGTGTGAGGTGTGTGAAGGAGGAGGAGGAGGATGAAGAGGGGAGGCAGTGGGATGGGGGAGGGTGTCGGGAGGAGACGGGGAAACTGGTCTCCAATCTGTGTGTGCGCATGTGTGTGTGTGTGTGTGTGTGTGCGCATGTGTGTGAGGGTCTATGTGCTAGAGCACTACATCACAGACCAGCTAATGGAATACTGGTGACTTGAAGGGTCCTCTCCTGCTTCTCCTCCATCACCACACCTCACCCCACCCTCCACACAGGATTCTGGGTAGAGTGTGACACACCGGAGGGCATTATGCAGTCTCTATCAATGTGTAGAGTCTACATGTGCACCAGACAGGTCAGAGAAAGAACTGTATGATGTTGTGTCCCCACTAACTCGTGCTAGTTTACTCGCGGGATCATTTGTATTTACTCGCGTTACACAATGGTAATGTACACCGATCAGCCATGACATTCTGACCACCTGGGCACTCTGGTGGTCAGAAAAAAAGTCGCTGAAATCATCATGCTGCCCATTTTTCCTGCTTCTAACACATCAACTCTGAGGACAAAATGTTCACTTGCTGCCTAATATATCCCACCCTCTGAGCCATGATAACTTTATAATCAGTGTTATTCACTTCACTGGTCAGTGCTCATACTCTTATGGCTCATACTGTTATATTCACCATTTAATCTGGTTTACAAGGGTGGTAAGAACCTAAAATGAACATATTTTGCTGTTATTTAATGTCAATAAA